TTTTTCTAAAGTTAAGAAAGTATTTAAGAAATGGGCCCTAGGTATTAGGCTAAGGAAAATACCTTCTCTGTACTGAGAGCGTTTACTTGGGGGACCAGCTGTAGATCGTTAATAAGGCAGAGGAAAGGAGCCTAGAGAGAGCTGTAATTCAAGAAACTGCATGTCATTTTGATACACTGCAGAAACTTCCTAACAGGTCTCCTGGCTGCTGTCTTCACTGTCTCCCATCTGCCTCTACTCCTAGTCAAGGTGATCTTTCCAAAACATGCATCCGGTCATGTCACTACCCTGTTTAAAATACATCTGCTGACTATCAGATAGAACCCCAGCTTTCTAGCCTCATAGGACAGGACCACCTTGCTGTTCAGTTTCATGTCCCAACATGGGCTTCCCATGCCCTTCATTCATGCGCAGCTGAGACAGTGGCAGTAGGGGTTAAGGAGGTGGGGTGGACTTGAGAAGCACTAGTTGATAGGATTACCTGGATGTGATGAGGGAGAGTGTCTCAGTCTGTTTTGTGCTGCTGTAGCAGAGTACCTGAGACTGAGTAATTTTTAAAGAACAGCAATTTATTTCTCACAGTTCTGGAGGCTGAGAAGTCCAAGATCAAGAAGCAGGCATCTGGTGAGGGCCATCTTGCTACGTCCTTACATGGCGGAAGGTGAAAAGGTGCAAACCCACTTTCTCAAACCCTCTTCATAGTGGCATTAATTGATTTGTAAGGCAGAGCCCTCATGTCCTAAACAAGTCCCATGAGGCCCTACCTCCCAACACTGCTGCACTGAGGATTAAATTTCCAACACATGAGTGTTGGGGGACACATTCAAACCATAGCAGAGGGTGAGCCTCCTCCATGCATGAAATAAGCAGTACAGATGTGGTGGCAGAGGGGGAGAGAAGATAAGTTCAGTCTGAGGTCACTGTAGAACATCACCCCCAAGGACTTCTTGCATGCTTGGCCCTGTACCAGGAACTGGGGGGAAGTGCCAGACATGACCTCTACAGAGATGAGAATATATGTGGCATTAGGAAATTGGAGACTTGGGCTGGCCCGGTGGCGCACTGCTATAGTGCGCCGCTTGGGAAGCGTGGCGGCACTCCCACCGAGGGTTCGGATCCCACATACAGACCGGTTCCCGCTCACTGGCTGAGCGAGGTGCGGGAGCAACACCGAGGGCTGCGATCCCGTTGCCGGTCCCGGTCCGGTACGGGGGCGACACTGAGGGTTGCGATCCATTGCCGGACACGGAAAAAGACAAAAAAAAAAAAAAAAAACCAAGGAAATTGGAGACTTATCAGAGAAGAGGGGCAGCAGAAGGATTATCACTGGTAGTAGATTCCAGAGGTAGATTAGTAAAGGTGTCACTTAATAGCTGAATGACATTTTCCCTACTTTATAAAGTATCCAGTAAAAGTAATGACAAATACAATGTTGCTTTTCATTGTTTCCAGGGCTTAAATGTTTAAACAATGGGTGACATTAGGGCCTAATTGGGGATACATAAAAGTATCAGGAGTAGAGGTTTCAGCCTTGCCCTGATTGTGTCAAATTAATTTTGACTTTCCAAGTGTCTTTTGTCACTTAATAATATGGTTATGAATTTTGAAGTTCTTTTGTGCTGCTTTGGACTGTATGGAAGTACATAAGTTTTTCTTCTCCTGCTTTCTCAGTGTCCAGTTTCTTCTGGAGAGTGTTGGGTTGAAAATCTTTTTAAACTGCCCTAGTCTGCCTTCCTGATATGGGACATACTCTGGTGAGAAGAAGCAAAAGGCATGCTGCTTTATTTCTTGATGGAAGATGGATCAATCTCTGCTTATCTCTTTTTCTATTTAACAAAGTAGAATCTACCATATCAACGTCGTCAATTTCCAGCTCATCTGGTCCTTGTGATTCCACTTGTTGTCACTTGTATGCTGCCATTGCTTTGGGCCTAGGGCCAGTGCTAGTGCTGCTATGGAAGCAACCTGGCTCTCTGCTGGTACCAAAGCTGTTTCTACAAAGTGTGCCCCACTGGCTTGGCGCCCCACTGAGGGGTGCCTCTTCTTGCTGCTGTCGTCCTCACTGCCTGTAAAGGCTTTCCCACCAGGCACACAAACTGAAAGTTGTCTGCACCACTGTCCATACCAGTTATTAACTGCTGAAGTTCTAGTCCTTGTTCCAAAGCCCCATAACTTTGAAGGCATAGCTCCTGGTAAGGAATGTGGAAAGCCCTTCCAATGGGGTGACAGGTGGAAAGAGGCACCAGTACTGAGGTGTGGTGCCTTCCCAGGTAAAACCTGCAAATCTCTCAGTTCTTTCAGGTATGTTGTCATCTCAAACACTGGGCATTAGTGCATCAGGATTTCCTTTCCTCCTCCCCAGGAAGCAGAATCCAAACCCTTTCGGTAGGGGTTAGTTGGGAGGCTAGCGGAGGTTGTGGGCATATTTTTTTTTTTTTCGTGTCCGGCAACGGATCGCAACCCTCAGTGTCGTGCCCGTACCGGACCGGGACCAGCAACGGGATCGCAACCCTCGGTGTTGCTCCCACACCTCGCTCAGCCAGTGAGCGGGAACTGGTCTGCATGTGGGATCCGAACCCTCGGCAGGAGCGCCACCGCACTCCCAAGCGGCGCACTGTACCAGTGCGCCACCAGGCCGGCCCTGTGGGCATATTTTTTGAATCTAGTTTTCTTGGGCCTAAAAGTGTGATGGGGTGAATGTTGAGAGGTGAAGAGCTCCAAACTAAGCTCATGAAAGCTGGTATCTTATGTCTTTTTTTTAGTGACAGGTCATCTGCTCTGTCCTCCAAAAATGCTCATCTCTCATGGTGGGATCTGTCTTCTTTCCAGCAATGTCCTAAGTTCCTTGGAACTTTGACACATCTTGTCCTGACTTCCATATTAGTCTGGGTAATGCAAGTTGATGCTGTGGTAACACCCCTCCCCCATCTCAGTAGCTTCACACAATGGAGGTTTGTTTATCACTTACACAAAGTCTTTTGCAGGTTGTACATCGTTCTCCATCTTGTGGATATAGCATCTGAAACACATGCCAGAACAAGACACCGAAACTGGATGGTTTAAAACAATAGTAATTTATTCTCTCACAGCTCTGGTGGCTGAAGTCCAAAATCAAAGTGTGTGTAGGACCACATTTCTCCAAAGGTTTTAGAGAAGAATCCTTCCTTGCCCGTTTCTAGCTTCTGATGGTTGCCAGCAGTCCTTGGTGTTCCTTTCTGCAGGTGCATCACTCTAGTCTCTGCCTCCGCCTTCACATGGCTGTCTTCCCGTGACTCCATGTCCGTGTTTTCCTCCTTTATAAGAGCACTTGTCTAAGGATTAGGCTCCATACCTAATCCGCTATGACCTCATCTTAATTTGATTACTTCTACAAAGACTCTATTTCCAAATAAGGTCATATGCACAGGTTTGTAGTACAGTAGTCCCCCTTATCTGCAGGGGGTATGTTCCAAGACCCCCAGTGGATGTCTGAAACCATGGATGGTACTGAATCCTATATATACTGTATTTTTCCCTGTACATGCATACATGACCAAGTTTAATTTATAAATTAGGCACAGTAAGAGATTAACAAAAACAATAATAAAATAGTACAATTATAACAATATACTGTAATAAAAGTTATGTGAATGTGGCCTCTCTTGATCTCTCAGAATATCATAATGTACTATACTCACCTATTTTTGGACCATGGTTGGCCTCAGATAACTGAAACAGTGAAAAGCAAAACCGAGGATAAGGGGGACTACTGATTTGGCCCTCCATATTCAACCAACTGCAGATCAAAAATACTTAAAAGAAAGAGAATAATAAAAAAATAGCAATACAACAATTAAAAATAATACAAATGAAAAACTAATACAGTATCAGGGGACTTCAAAAAGTTCATGGAAAAATTTATCTTTTAATTCTATTTTCCACAAAGTTTTTGAAGTACCCTCATATAATAACTATTTACATAGCATTTACGTTACATTATATTAGGTATTATAAGTGATCTAGAGATAAAGTATAGAGGAGGGTGTGCACAGGTTATATGCAAATACGATGCCTTTTCGTATCATGGACTTGAGCATCCTGAGATGTTGGTATCTGGGGGGGGTCCTAGAGCCAATCCTTGGAAGATACCGAGGTAGGACTGTAGTTTATACGATCTGTAAAACTATCTTATTTTTGTTCGGTTTGCTGTTTCCTGTTAATCCAGAGATTACAAAATGGTAGTCAACAGGTTGGATCTATTCCATGGATTTTTTGTGTGTGACTCACACAATGTTTAAGAAATGTGAATAAACATGTACATATCTAAATTTACCTTGAGCAATTGGAAGATCTGACAACATTTCTAGGACTGGGTTTCCTCAGAAAACCAATAATAAGGAAAACAGCCAAATAAGGGCTGTTCCCTGTAGACAGCCCGATCTCTGCAGTTCACCATGATCGCTGCTATCCATTCCCATAAAATCACCAGCACTGAGGCTGAGCATCTTCTCATTTGTTTTTGTGCTTTCACCATTGTTGTCTTAGACAATTTTTCCCTTATATGTGGTTCTTTTTACTCACTTTACCTGATTGGCCCCTGTAGGCATTTATGTTTGTGACCTCAATTTTTAACAAAATCTGCATTTTTTAGCAAATTTTTTAGCAAATCTGCAATTTTTAGCAAAATCTTATCACATTCTGGCACTTCTAAGGGTTTAAACACTACCCAAAAGCATCACCTTGAACTTAAGACTCTGAGGTTGATTTCCTCATCTAGCCATCTGCAACAGTAGTGACTTGAGGTGCATAGATGACAAAGTTCCAGAAATAGCTATAAAAGGCCTGGAAATACCTGTAAAGGCCAGGAAACACCTGTGATGGGGTAAATAAATATCTGTAATAAAATACTTGCAATTGGGGTAATAGCATAAATTTGAATATAATTAGAACAATGCCTGCTGACTCACTTTCAAGTAAATTCTTACTGATACAGCTTTTTGTGCCTTTTCTCTCCTATACAGACCACTGGAAAGATCCAGTGAAGATGTGGATATAATCTTCACACGACTGAAAGAAGTTAAAGCGTTTGAGAAATTTCACCCAAATCTCCTTCATCAGATTTGTTTATGTGGTTATTATGAGAACCTGGAAAAAGGAATAACATGTAAGAAATGCAGCTCCATTGGTATATTTTCATGTATGGTCTGTGCTCATTTGTGGTTACCCTATGGGGATAGATAGCAAATGGAGGATTTATGTGCCAAATATTTGAGCTTCGGCCAAGGGTATTAAGTTGACATTTCCCTTCATTCTGTTTATTCAGCTCCATGTAGGCGTTTCCTTCACTCCTTTGTTCAAGCATGAATGTGGTTCCTCCAGGGCAGCCTGCTGTCCAGATGGAGCTGGAAGGATGTACTGATTCATACATTTAGCTGTGTCCTTAGAAATTCAAATAATTATCTTCTCTAAGCCAAGAAATATGTCACCAATAGGATATTAAATAAAGATAAAAGGTCTCTTACTAATGCTAATAGTAATGTTTTGAATTAACCTCGGTAATATCATCTATTCCAGGTGTGAATAAAGGGCAGAGAAAATAAAATGATAGGGTAACAGCTGTATTTTTTTTAAAAAGTATTTTTTCATTAAAAAAGTATTACTTCTCCATCTGTTGGGATGCTTTATGCTGCAGTAACAGAAAACTTCCATTTAATTGGGTCAAATAATCAATTATTCATACAAGAAGGAAAAAAATCAATGATTCATATATAAGAATCTGGAGGTAGGATGACATCAGGGTTAATTAGCAAAGTGGCTCAATGACATTATTCAGGTACCATGTTCTTCCTGTCTTTTTTTTTTTTGTATGCATCCTCATATGTTGGCTTTTGTCCTCAGACTTTTTCCAAGTGGTCCTAAGACAGTTACAGTAGTTAGAGGCATTACATGCCAGTACAGAAATGCCCTGCTGAAGGACTCTTTCTTCTTGTATCTCTTTTTCAGAAGTCCCCCAGCAGACTTCTTGTCTCATTGGCCAGAATTGCATCACATGCCTATGCCTATAAACCAATCATTAGCAAAGACAATGGGATCACCATGATTGATTTAGACCAATCACCATTACTGTAGTGGAGCGAGGGAAAAAACTCATAGGCTCTGAGCATCTGGCCCTGTGGATAAGGGTGGAAATTTGTATAAAATCTGGGTTCGTTTATAAGAGAGCATGAATGGTTCTGGGTGGCAAAGCAACAGGGTCTGTCACCACATCATTGCAGAAAATTTAGAAAGTCAACAAAATAAAAATCACCTCCAATCCCCAAACCCAGAGATTACTGTTAACATTTTCTGTGTATTCTTCTAGATGTTTTCCCATGTGTACACACACATAGTCACATTGTTATTCTTTAAAAAATCTATATGTATTATTTTAAAACCAATATATATATTTTTTCTTACTGATATCAGAAACTGCACTTTGGGGGGGATGAGACTCTCTTTCCTATATCTTAAAGCCATTTTCAAAATGAATCTTCTATGATATGTGAATATGATTGGCAAGCGATAATGTCTTTTGGGACCAAGAAGTTCATGAAAGGTAAAACTCTGTATCTAAAATGAGTCACTTACAAAGGCTCAGAGCAGCAGAGTTAGTGGAGAGGCCAGCTGTAAACTCATCAGCCCTGATCTTAAGCTTGTCATTGTGCGTGGTAGGATGCCATTGCTGTTCTTTGCCTTGCCACAGCATGTCCTAGTCAGGGAGTTCAGAGAAGCTTGTCATCATTAATTATGGCTCCCAGAAGCTTGCTCTTATGTAGTGAACGCTAGTCTTGCTAAAACTCAGCCGTCCCACTGAGCTGTCCATGTGATATTTCATTGAGTCATTTGACCTGCGATTCTAACTGTGAAAAGAATTTAAAAATATCAGATTATTTCATTTAGTTATTCAGCTAGGATATTTAAAAGGACAGTTGGTTTGTATGAGATTTTTGAACCAGTGTTTCAGAATTACTTTTCAAAGTCTGGTCTTCACATGGTGTGGAAACTAAGTCTCTATCTAAATATCTAAATATTTTCTCTCTTAGATTACAAACTTAAAGCAAAATCAGCTTTAGAAATTTCTGATGAGAATCATTTCCAAATGCCTAAAAGTAGTGAATTTATAAAAGGAACAAGAAAATGGACAATGATAATATAGTAGTTCAAGTTTTTGAACAAAGGAGATTTTTAAAAAAATCATTCATTGGTCAATTTAAAAGAAGACAAACTATTTGAGAAAAAATGTTGCTTTTAATATAGATTTAGGAAGTTGGGGTGGTAGTCTGGTATTCTGTGGAGTCAAATAACCTTAATAATATGTACCCCATGTAGAGTAATAATTTTCTAAGAATCACACAGTATTTAAGATAAATTATATAGAACATCAGTTAATTCTTCTTAAATTCAAGATACCTTATAGCATTTACAGTTCTGGTCTCATATTACAGCTCCGTAAGTATAGAAGAGTTCTGTTTAGTAGAGTTCCACTTCATAGAATGTTGAATAACTAGGATATTGCTTCGTTGATAGGTGAGATAAAGAACATATATTCTTGTGGGAACAGATAGAGGAAGGATGGTAAGCTCACTTAGGTCCAACTCATGCTTATAATAACCAGTGAAAAACTATCAGGTCATACAGTAAAAGCAACTTGTATTTGGAATATTTACATCACTATTTCTTTTTCAGTATTTCGGCAGGGTGATATTGGAACAAACTGGTATGCTGTCCTGGCAGGGTCTTTGGATGTGAAAGTATCTGAGACCAGCAGTCACCAGGTAATATACTCTATTCTCTTCTTTAAAAAGCAGAATATATTATTATTATTGTTTGAAGACACATTATCTCTATGTCTTTTATGCCTTCAAAATTATATTGTCAAACCTATTTCCTCTTTCCCATAGTAAAGGGTTCAACAGTGTTTGTCAAATTCTTTTATTAAGTTAGTCAACAAACATATATATTGAATGTCTTCCGTGATTTGAGTGTGGTGCCAGGTGTTGGAACATGAGAAGCCTGTCTTCCAGGAACTTGCTGTCTATTGGAAATGCAGACAACTCAATTGTAATGTGATAAATTGCTGTTGTAGAGAGTGAAATGTGAGCAAAGGGAAAAGAGAAGCAAGTCTTCCTAGGTTTCTCCTTAGATCTTTCCTGCATTCTGTTGCCTGACTTTTCATTGACCTAGAAGAGCTCGCCTCATCAGCCTTTGAGGAGCTCCAGCGATGCAGAGGAAACGCGATCAATGCAGTCCCTCTAAAATCTCTATTTCTCTACCTCATCTTTTCATATGTGGGATGGCCAATAATATATTTTTTTCTAAAGTACAGCACTGACTTCCTTTATCTTCATTCGTCACCTGTGAGGAGCTTGGCATCATAGAAGATAAAACTCATATTCTTTTTTCTTTTCAAAATATTTGTGAATATTTAAAATTGGACCTAGAGTTTCCTTTCACATCTGCAGTAATCCTTGCTCCATCATTACGTGTGGCTTAAATGGACACAACCTTCCTGTTTAGAGCCAGGAATCTTGAATCTGAAAAGTATGGCCCCAGAAGAGCCACCTTCATGTGTCACTATGAAAATGTTCCAAGTCTTATATCCACATATTCAGGATTCAGATAAAAACTGAGGGAAGAGAATTGGGTAATTGCAAATCAGAAAGAATTATCAAGAAAAATCAATGAATCAGTTAAAGGGACAAATAATGTACAGCCGAGTGCATGTTTCGGATAGTGTTTCTGAACCTTTTCTACAGTAACACACTTCAGAGGTGAAAAACATTTATGACACGCTAAACTTGAGATTTAAATTTACAGGGACTTGTGTGCATACTGGATTTGTGGGCAGTCACCATCTTAAAAATGGAGTGGTATCCCAAAAGGTTGTTGGTAAGGTGGGCATTTGCAATTTGGAATAAGAGTTCCTGTGTTATGCCCAATTGTAATGGATGGTTAAAGTCTCAGGCCAGAGCCCAAATCCTACTTAACCCATAGTATACTCTTTCTGTGCATCAATGCATAGAAAGTTCCATTAGACTTTGATGGTACTTTCCCTTTTCCCCTCTCTCATAGGGCTGGTTTTCTCTTGGATTTCAGAGAGGGTTAAGATGGGAGGTCGATTTTGATTTTTGTAAGCTGCCTCAAATTCCCAATAAGACTGAGAACAGCTAGCATTTCTTGGACAATTTGCCATACCCAAGACATTTATCCATATCCAATATACCCAGGATTCTCATATTTATCCATATCTGATATATACAGTATTTCCTGGATCTTTTCTGGGCAGTGTTCCAAGCACTTAACGGGTACTTATTTACTCCTTTAGTCCTCACAACAGCCCTATGAAGTAGGACATATTACTGTTCTCATTTTACAGATGAGGAAAGTAAGGCCCTGAGTGGTTAAGTGGCTTGTCCCAAGTAACGTTTCTAGAAATTATGTGAACCAAGATTAAAACCCAAGCAGGCAGGCCCCTGAACATATGTTCTTAGCCACTGCTCCATGACTATTTGATTCAAAAGAAACATGATGAAAAGTGCAACTTCCCTCTCTCTCTACTCTTTGTCATCCTTCCAGACTACCCCATGTCTTTATCTCTGCACGTCTCCCACCGTAGATGTTGTCCTGGTGGGTGTGCTCTGGGCCGCTTTGCTTGGAGCTGCTCCTGTGCTTACCTTACCCAGGTTTACCCTGCGTGGATGTGCCAAAGAGGCAGGGCCTGGAGGAGGAGGATTCTCCTTGGTCCCTCCTGGTTCTCAAGGTGGTCCTGAGTGAGTAATGATGGAGCAAGGGGGGAAGCTGAAAAGAGAAAGGTGAGGAGAAGGGAAGGGAAGGAAGATGAGAGGTAAGGAGGAGAAAGGAGAGAAGAGGAAAAGAGAGAGCAGACATGCTGAAGGGAATGAGAAGTAACACCAGGAGCGATGTGCGGACACACCAGATATTACAAGCTGGCGTGAGGTTTTGATGGTATTAAAATAGTATTTGGCCAGGAGCTTCAGGAATATTGCCCTGGACCAATTATCTCTCACCATGGGGTCCTAGCAAAGAATAGTCAAGGAACACTTTGTTATTAGCTGTGGGCTTTAAAATAAAATTGATAAACTTTTAATTTTAGACTTCAGATCTAAAATTGGGTTTGGTTTTGACCTCAGACCCAATGCAGAGAACTCTCCTAAGCTGGATGTGGTCTTCTCTTACATTGTAAGGAATGGTTAGCTTTATACCAAAGCTGGCTTACTGCCTCCTCAATGTACTTCATCCCACAATGGTCAACCACAGTTTTCTGGATTGATTCCCATCCCTAAGATATAAAAGGAAGAGAAAGCACATGGGTCCCTTTACCCTCCAGCCCTCCTGAGCGTGGCCTGAGACAGACAGAGGGCCCAGCCTTTGAGCCAGCTCGGAGGGGCAGGACATCGCTCTAGCCACAAGGGAGAAAGAAGAGAAAGAAGCTAAGGAGAATGAGCAAGATGGCTGAACCTCCTCCCATGCCAGGCAGCTTGAAAGGGAGAAACAAAAACACCGTGTCTACCTGTGCATGCCTTGTAGTGGGCCCTAGGTCTCTGTCCACAAGTGATGTGGGCAAATCAGGGCGACTGGTTAGCTTGGCAGAGTAGTACCCTGTATATGACAGGGTTCCTCAGAGACAGAGAAGAGAGAGAGAGATTTGTTTCAAGGAACTGGATCACATGATTGTGGGGACTGGAAAGTCTGAAATCCTTAGGGCAAGCTGGTAGACTGGAGATTCAGGTAAGAGTTAAATGTAGCATCTTGAGTACGAAGGCTGGAAACTCAGGCAGAATTTATACGTTGCAGTCTGGACGCAGAATTCCTTCTTCTCTGGAATAAACCTCAAGGGAAACCTGTTTGCTCTCAATGCTTTCACCTGCTTGGACAAAGCTCACCACGTTATGGAGGGGAATCTACTTTATTTAAAGTCTACTGATTGTAAACGTTAATCACATCTAAAAAATATCTCTACAGCAACATCTAGACTAGTATTTGACCAAAAAACTGGTCACCATTGTCTCGCCAAGTTGACACATAAAATTAACCATCATAAGCCCCAGTGGGGGGTGGATGATGGGCCACGGGAGAAGATCCAGGAAAGACCTGGAGTTCCTACCCCTGGAGACCAGAAGCAGTCATTGCTAAGTGCCTTTATTGTGTCACACTGTGCTAGGGATTCCGTGTACATTAACTGACTTACTCTGTAGGCATTCATGTCCGATTTTACAACTGGGCTTGAAAACAAGGCTCAGCCACATTAGGTGCAACTTTCCCAGGGCCACATAGATGTATGTGGCCAAACTTGGATTTGAATTCAGGTCTGACATATGCTGCCCACACTGAAAACAGGCAGGGTGGAGGGGTTGGTAAAAGAGAAAGAAGAAAAGTTACAAGAGACTAAGAATTGAGGAAAGAGAGAAAAGAGGTAACAGCACAGAGTCAAGTCTTTACAGGAGGGTGGGCAGAGCTTCTTGCTAGCCTGCCCTCCATTTTCTTTCTTCAGGTCCCTCCCTGCCCTGAGTGTCTGCCTCCTTGTCTGATAGTCACTGCCTTGAAACCATGTTTGTCTGAAGAATTCTGGCAAATACATAGATGATTCTGTTCCTATTACTTTGAGGAATCTTTAGAGACTCGCAAATCCTATCTTCCTGTAGATTACATTTATTCCACTACTCCACGAAACAAAAGCTACTTCAGGAGCATTCTTACCAACTCTTACCACGGTGTGTAATTGTCAGAGGCATCTCCCCGCTGCTCAGACACTCTTCCTGTCTTGGCTGTTCTTTGTCTTACCCCATGAAACTTGGAACTTCCAGCAAAGGGACCTGCCCACAGACCACTTCACTGTCTAGGACTGTCCCAGCCTGGCCTGCATGTTCACATAGATTTCTATTTGGCAGCATGGATCCTAGCAAGGAGTAATCCTTCCAGTTCCCCAGTGATACCTGTCCCCACCCTCAGCCTCTTACCTGAGTCTGACCAGGACACATTTGTGCCTTTGATCCCCTCAGCTGAACTCTTATGCACAAGAACCTCTCCTGTCTTGGGTGCCTATTTAGCCTAAGTGGACTAAAAGTCAGATATTTTACATTCCCACTAGAATGAATAATACTATAGGTATATTTTTTTTCTCACCAGTCTTTTAATAGATTTAGAGTTAGAGATGAACATTGAAACAAATTATAAACAATAAGTAATAAACTTAGAATCAATAAATAGCTTATAAACCTCATTAGATCGGATAACATTACCCAACTCTTTGTGTGCGTGTATGGTTTAGAGAGAGAGAGAAAGAGAAAGAAGGAGGGAGAGAGGGAGAAGTTTCTTATTTTCTCTGCAGATTTTATAGGTGAGGGACCTTTTTGGCATAGTAAATATTTAAATTCTAGCAATACATAAGGTTTTAAATTCATCTTTACACTAAAAAAGGTATAATTTTTTTTCAGTTGTATGAAAGAAGAATTTCTGATGGCTGCTGACAGAATAGACATTTGTGCTGCTAAATAGAGAATGGGATAGTTCATTAATTCATTAAAACTTCTGCATCTCTATAGCAGACACTTAAAGTGTGAGTGTTTACCTGACACAACACACAGTGGTTAAATTCAGACCTTTGAAATTCTCTCTCTCCCACTTAATTGGCTGTGGGTATGCATAATTAGATTACCAGTAAATTAGGGATAATAGTTCCTACCTTAAATGATTTAATGTATGGAAAGCACTTAGTACAGAGTCTGGGATGGAGCAAGAGATCCTGTGCTTTTTA